TTAAAGGAACGGCCAGAGGCTATCATATGAGCCCCAATCACCCTCATGGGCCTAAGAATTCAAGTACCACACGCTACACTTGGGGGAAATCAAACCCCAGACCAGAGGGGACTTAACCAACTAATATGAGTATGTGGCACAACTTTATATACATACATATATATCTATACACACACACACACATTCACACACAAACACATATTTTTTATATATTTACTAATATTAAGTCAAATCCAAGCTGACTGAATTTGTTTTGAGCGATTTTCAAAAATAAAATTTTATTATTTTGTAGGCGGAGATGGAAAGATGACGGAGGAAGAAGAGTATGAGAAAGTTGAGAAAGCATTGAAGAATTACGTTGAAGAGAGGAAATGGAGGAGCTTTACATTGATCTCTACTTCTTATTTGATGGGTCAGCTAGAAGAGAGGAACGACTTTCTCACCAGATTCGCAAGGGAAAAGCTTCTTTCTGGATTCATAGGTTGGTTACAGCTCAAAATCACTGAGTTTGATTGTGGGATGCTTTAGGAATTAGTGAAAATGTATGATTTAAGTGTATATGGGCTTCCCAATTCCTTTATGAAATAACCAAAGTATGCATGAACTATGAATATTTTTCAAATGGGGAATAAGTTTCCTAGGGATGTTTTTCCTTTTAGGATGGGTCATGTATGCGCTATCATGTTTCAAATAAATTTATTTGCTGTTTTAATTAGAGAAAGTCGTCTTAGATGGTTTGGTCATATTAAACGTCGACCATTAGATGATCCGATTAGGAGAGTAGATGTTTTAAATTCGACTTGTGTTAAGAAAGGCAGAGGTAGACCTAGGAAGACTTGGGCTTATTGTATTAAAAATGATCTTAATTTACTAGAACTAAATGAAAATATGACACTAAATAGGACGCAATGGAGAAAAAGGATTCATGTAGCCGACCCCACGTAGTGGGATTAAGGCTTTGTTGTTGTTGTTGTTGTTGTTGAAGTGTTTTAATCGTGAGAAAATAGTTTGTGTTTTAGGTTCTACTTTTCTTCTTTTGCCTCTTGTTTCCTTGTTGACAGCATAGGAGAATATTTTGTTGCCATCAATTTTTTTTTTTTTAAGAAATTGCTGTCTCGAATAAATAAAAGTGAACACATTATTTGATTAGTTCTGATATTTTCAGTATATTTGGGTTATTAAAATTTTTTAGTTTTTTTAATTTTTGTTTATTTTTTATGTAAAATGAATCCTACTGAAATATATATGGTCTATTTGGTGTGCTAAAAAAATACAATAATGATAAAATATAATGTTAAATTAATAATGTTTGTGTTGCAGTGCAATCTTCTTGTTGTCGATCGAACAACCCCATAATAGTTTGAATTTCAAAATCTAACTATTGACTATATTATCATATGAATTTTAAATTATGCACATATTTAATGTCCGAAAGTGGTTGTAGCCTCATATTTAAAGTAAAGTTTTCAATTTAAATTAATATTTTTTTTTAATCTTAAGAAGAAAAAAATAATTCAGTTAGGTTCAATTTTATAATGTTTAATGAGATAAAATGAGTAATACTTTATTTAATTGTGTTGTTGAATTCAGAATTGTTCGCGAGACGTCTAAGGATCTAGGGCACGAGAAGGAGAGAGTGGTGAATAAAGAAAGAAATAGCATAGTATAGAACAGTAAAATCGTGTAACCCTCATTCATGAAAAATGAGCCTCCTATTTATAGAAATGGGGGTGTATAATTACTTTTTGTAACCTTAGAATACATAAATACCGAAGAGGTATATAGTCCATACATGAATTTAGTGTCGGGAGGCTGGGAGGCTGAAATAGCACCCATCTGGTTGGTGTTGGACGCCAACGAAAGGTTCGACAAGATGAAGCCTAAAGCACCAAATGGTGCCCGACCGAATGGGACTGAGAGCCTAAGACGGTGTCGGACTGGATGGGACTAAGATCTTAAGACGTCGCCCAACCATATGGGACCAGGAGCCTACGATGGACCCTGCCTGGCCTTTATTGCTCGACCGTCTATACATCGAGTTACCAAGACAATTAACAGTTAACTCCATGAGAATAGTTGAGTCTGGTTCATCTGAGGGGTGTTTTTTTTTGGTCCTATAGGTGTTGACTGGCTAGGTATGAGATTTTTGATCGTCTTCGGCAGGTCTCGGGGTGCTACGTCACCTCTTCTGCCCGCCGTCTGATCTTTTTAAGATTCATGCTGACACATCTTCTATGGACATACTTAAGTTATATGATTCATTTGCTTCTTGCTTGCGACATCTGCGATAAGTACAAGGGAATTTTATTTTCAAAAATGTTAATTGTATTCATTATTATTAAATGTGCAATAATTGACTATTTACAGATTTTCATGCCAGCCGACCCCTTATAAATAAAGAAAATGGGAAAGGAGGCTCATCTTTCATGTGTTTCCTTGGACTAATCTTTCAGCTTCTCTGTTGCTTTAGTTATGGAGGGTAGACAACTTTCCAAGTCAGTCAAGTTTAAGAAAGAAGCTCGAACTATAGTGTTTCAGGTGATGAAGAAGAGGTCCAAATCGACTTCTAGGGGAGAACGACCTGACAAATGTGTGGTGCCCAAGGCAAAAAATTTTGAACCAATGATCGAGGTGAAGAAATGATTTACTCAATGGTCATCTTGTAGGTTTATCTCTAATGACAAAAGAGTGGTTATCCCGTGAAGAAGCATCTTACTGTGGGAAAAATCTGTTCGGATGTTAGGCTGGCAGAATAGTTAGCCCGCCCTTCAATTTTTCCTGATTCGATGAAAGGAGATGATTAAGGAGCTTGCTTTCTATTGATATCGTTGGAGGCACCGACCACAAATGATCAAGGAGTTATCTTTGACCTTCCCCTGACTAATGCTTCTCAACTTGTTTTTCATCCTCTGCCAACGAGGCAGGAGACTAGGGAAGAAGGTTGTTCCTTCATCACTTTAGACATGAACAATATGGTGGGCCCTTCTTTAGGTGAGGAGAAGAAGACTCAAGCTTTTGCTGAGCGTAGCGCTGCTCGAGCTAGTGTCGCAGCTGACGTGGAGTTCAGCTAAGGCTCCTGACATTCCGAGGACAGCTCGGGAATGAATTAACGTGTATGGAGGTTGACCCGACAGTAGTAGTCAGTGTGTCAGATCTATCTGGCTTGGTTGTGCTTCGTCCTTACAGGGTTGATATTTAATCAAATTAAGGAATTGATCACCTTTAGCTTTGGATGTGTGGCTAGAAAGATTGGAGAAATAAATAGCCACAATTTAGGCTCAAGAGGTTATTCTTCAAAAGCTGTTATTGTCTCTCTGATGTAAGTTGACAGCCATTCGGGAGGAAATTTTGATCTACCTGTTGTACTCTGAAATGAATAGAGTAACAAAATTAGGATTGGAGGGGAGATGATGTAGAAGTTGTTGTCCCAGTTGGGATATGACCCGACTGAGCTGACAATCAACGATTTTGTGAAGTTTTTTTTTTTCTTTTTGACTAAGTGGTTGTGACCAGACCAAAAAGATGTAAGTAGTTGTATTTCATTAATGTGTGTGTGTGTGTGTTAAATCTTGATTTGTAGATGTGTGTTGGATTTGATTCTTTTCTGTATTTTGATGTAGCAAAAATACCTAATGCTCTTGTGTCGCTCGACTTCTATCACACACAATAAGTTTTTGAATTGAAGACAAACAAAGCAAAATGGTGGAGTTGCTGCACAGTGATGCATGATGTGCCAAAATTCAGAGAACTGGTGCATGATGCACCAAAACTGGCGCATGATGCGCTAGAGACGACTTTTAGCGAATTAAGACGATTCAGAACAAATTTTACGTGAATTTTCAAAGGGACACTTGTTCTAAACACCCCTTGAAGTGATTCAATGCATCTAGACACTTCGGAAGGTTCTTTTATGAAGCGGAAGGTTCACTTCGGAAGGTTCTTTTATGAAGGGATATGTCTTTTGAATAAATGGACATGTCTTTTGAATTTAAAAGAGTTGACTTTTGGATAGAATTTTAGACAGAAATTTGAATTCTTTTTGGAGGGAGGCAACCTTTTATATAAGAGAGGGAATTCTAGGGCTTGAAGAGGAGTTTTTGCGTGAGGAGTTTTTAGGGCATTTTTGTGTGTGTGTGTGTGTGTGTGTGTGAGTGGCATGAGAGTGAGAAGAAGGAAAGGGAGAGAGAGAGAGAGAGAGAGAGAGAGAGAAAGCAAGGCTGGAGATTTTCTTCAAGGATTATAAGAGGAGAGGGAGGTGATAGATTTCTTCTTCATTACATTTCTAGGAGATAATTGAGAGTGCTTGCATGGAGAGACAGACTTAAAAAGAACTTCTGAGGATTTGTTTCTGAAGAATAATGAGATAAGTTATGTCTTTTATTTCTTTTATTTTGTAAACTTGTTTTTATTAATGAAATCCATGTTTTGTTGCAACCTTCTCATGAATTCTGAGTAGTCTTCTTTATGCTTCTCTCTACTATGAGATATGATTTTGTAAAGAATTGATTTTGTTTTATACAGTTTTAAATGTCAAAAATTTGTGATGATTTGAACTCTAATCTTCATTTACTTTTAATCTTCATTTGATTTGAACTCTGATATTCATATACTTTTTAATTTAGCCAATTGAAATATTAAAATGTGTTGAGAAACATATGTTCCGAAAGGTTGTACAGCTATAGAAAGCATTAAAGTCATCAACAATGGTGACATTTGATTTCGTGGGAGAGTATTTCATCCATAGAGCTGGATGAAAATAAATAAGGAAATATACTTTGTTAGATGCAGAATTGGAGATTTTAAGGTGAAAGATTAAAATCCCCACTTTGGTCCAATTGATTGGAAACTATTGTGAGATTGTTAGCCCTCAGGTGAGGGAGTAGTGGGAGCTCTGAAGTGGCAGCCAGTATCCTCCCAGCATAACCATGAAATTAGAGACCAAACTCTGGATTAATCAATGTTCTTTATGCACATGGAAGAGGGTAAAGAATAGGATTGCTCCTATTTCCCACAAAATAATTTCTATATATTTTTAAATGAATTTAATTTCTTCACAATCCATATACTCATTGTAAAGGGGAATGATGCTTTCTTAAATTTGAGCTCTTCCTCACAAAACTTTGTTTAGTCTTTTTAAATTTAACTTTGAAGTTTAGAAATTATTTTGTTAAATTTAGTTCTTTTAGTTACATTTTTTTAACATTCATTAAACCCATTTTAACTTGTCTTTCTTATGTTACTTTTTATAGTTTGAATATTACGATTTAAGTTATTATCATAAGAACTTCCATCTTCCAAAACTAAGACTTTAAAACTAAGACTTTATAGTAGTAAGACTTTATAGTAGTATACTAGAATTAGGCTAAGAGATTTCTTATTGTGTTTCTCTGTGGGATTGATACTGGGGTTTTTAAAGACAGCCCTATTTTACTTGAAGCGATACGTGCACTTGCGTAGAACCACTAGTGTTTGAACTATTTTATATATTTTATAAATATTTTAATTTTGCACATTAGCTACTTGATATAAACTGGGTCAAGTTCTTGGCCCTATTTTTGAAAGCTAAATTAATGCGTAATTTCGGGACGGGTTAAGTTTTTGGCACTGTTAATGGAGATTTAAATTGACATACAAGACACAAAAAAACAACACACACTAGAGGCACATCAAGTTTTGGCGACGTTGCCGGGAAGCTTCAGTAAGAA